TGGTCCCATGATCAAATCACCAGAATACATTAACTCCTTTATTCATTTATAGTCTGTAAAAGTTAGTCAAATTGCATTGGATTTTAAAGACCCATTTGGTTTGATCTGAGAAAACAGTGAAAGTTAAATTTCATTGTGGTTTTTCATAACTCCACCAAGTCTGGCTCCCAAAATTGCTTATTGTTGGAACAGCCCAAGACAAAGGGCAGATGCTTTACTTCAGTGTCATCGTTTGGATAATCTGATGTGATTTTTGAAATGTGTGTGGTGTGGCCATGGATATTTGAAGTGTTGGAACACAGAAGGGAGGAGAGGGAGTTTACAGAATCTATTTTGAAAAGTACAGACTCCAAGGAGAAGTCTTGGATCATGATTGGGAGACAAAAATGACAATTTATGCATTGAGATGAACTTTACTTGGAAAGGGGAAATGGAACACTCAGCTCTTGCTTCATAGAGGTTGGCAATTCCTGCTGGTTGATAAGGCCTCAAGTTCTCACTTATTTGGTAGCCCTCACAAGGGGAGTCACAAGGCGGAAAGGCCATTAAAGGAACTTTTCTTCCTTGCAGACACCTTAGCAGGCCTGGCTCCTCCAATCAGCCTCATCTCAGGTCTGTGGAATCCTTGTGGTTAGTTGAAGTTAACAAACCCGGTGTGGCACAGCGGTCCCCTGCACAGGGCATGCATATTAAAGCCAACAATGCTTACAAATGTAAATAAGGGCAGATTGATTAGGAACAACATTATCGCTGGGAATGTCGCACTCGCATGCATCAGCAATGAGGCAAATTGGGGGCAGCCTCAGCCCTGACCACCCAAGTCGAGCAGGCTTTTACACTGGCTCCTCTTCCCTTTCTTAAAACGTTACAGAAACAAGGCCAATTAGATCCTCAAAGTAATTCATCTCTGTGTATGAAAAAAGCAGACCACAGGGAAAGCGGCGGGTGGGGGTGGTGGGGAGATTAAGATAGCGCTTGTTAGAGCCGAGGCTCAGGATTGCGTCCTGGAACCAATGGGTAGAATTTACAGGCCGGGACCATTGTCTGGAGATGCTGAAACGTTAACCTATCAAACAGCGGGGCGAGGAGGCTCAGGGCGCTGAAAACCTCGCGGATCAACGTTCAAAACGTTTAGGAATTAAGTCAAACTGAGGGAAATGAGTGGAAGAGACTTTGCCATTGAAATGACACATGTGGCAGTAGGCAGAACGAAAGGGCTTGTAGCTGCGCAGGGACAGTAATACGGAACCACTATGTGTACATGGTCTATAATTTCATTCTGGAATTCCACAATCCAAGTAACTACCCTGAAATTCCTATAATAAAAGATTGGGACGAAATATTTTGGTCTGAAACGTTTGTGAAGAAATTTGAAAAAACAAACATAGCAATGTGTCCATGGCTACCTGGTTATCTTACCTTGCCATAGCAAGCCTCAAATATAAAAAGGCTGACAGGTAAAACTAGGGGTACCACCCGCCAAGTGTTTAAAAAACAAATTCCAGAAGCAAGCACGAAATGGTTTGACTTGAAATGTCTGCAGAACTGCTCGGTAAGAAAAGCCAGAATAGTAAACCACTTTTCCTGGTTTGTGCTGCCTATCAAACATAATAAAGATCAGGATTATACCCAAAGGTTAAATTGGCTATGTGTCGAGCTCAGTCTTTCTGTACTATTATTTGTTAATGTGGTGTCATTTTCATCGCACGGTGCTTGCCTTCCTTTCTGGATTTTAGCAGCTATTCCCTGAGCCGCTCACAAAATCACGTGCTCCTTAGGCGTTATGAGTTTTGAATTTCCGCGCTGGCCGGGTACTCAGGGCCTCCTCCTGATCCGGTGAACACCCCCAAACTTCTACTCTGCCTTTATTCTCCAAGACACCGTACCCTGCCCCAGGTACCGCACACGTTTTGCCAGTTCGGGACTCAGGGAGGAGGGCCTCCCAGTGAAACGAGGAAGGAGAAAAGGCTAGAGGGAAGGTGGCGAGGCTGGGTGGGGAGAGATGGGGGAGGAAGAGAAAGGGGTGAAAGTGGAGAAAGGAGACGGGAGAGGGAAGGAAGTGGGGAGGGGAGACCGCCGGAGAGGAAGGAAGGGGGCGGGGAAAGCTGGCGGACAGGCCCCCTGCGGGAGCCGCGTGGACCGCCCCGGTGGCCCGCGCGCCCCGCAGCAACCCCTCGCGGGCCGGGGCAGCCAACGCGGGGTTGCTGAATGGGAAGGGACTCGTGCGCGCAACCATTGGCCGGCCGCGGGGAGGCCGCGCGGGCATTGGGCGACGTAAGGGGGCTGGTCCGCCTTCAGGAATGTACTACGGCGCGTCCGGCACGTCCGTCCGCGCCGGCGGGGCGCGCGCTTCGCCGGGGCTCTCCGGAGACCGCGCTGGGGGCGAGGAGCCCGCCCGGCGCTGGCGCGGCGCACCGACCTCCCTACCTGCTCTGCCTAGGCCGCGCGGGCGCGGGGAGTCCGGGCTCCGCGCGCGCGCACGCACCCGGGCACGCGCGCGCGCTCAGGCCGCCCGGCCCGAGGTCACATGGCCGCGTGGGCTCCGCCTTCTCCCCCGCTCCTCCCCCTTTCCCTCCATCTGGGTTTCTTTCTTTTCCTTTCCTTTCTTTCTTCTTTTTTTTTCAATGAACACACACCGTGTGCATCTTAAAGCCACACTCCCCCATTTCACGGCTTCGGTCGGCGTCTCGCTACCGCGGGTCCTTCTGCGGTTCAACCCAGTTTTTTAAAAAAGAGAAAGAAGAAACAAATACTAAAATGAAGCAGAGTCAAGGGTTTGTGGGTCTGCTTCCTACCACGGGGAGGAACTTAATAACTTGCAAACGTAAGAGAAACACACCCCACTTTCCAAAAGCAATTTTTTTTTTTTAAGAATAAAAAGCGAAGTTGTGTAGACGTGTCTGCCCCCAGGAACCACCCCAAAGGGTCGCGTGTTTTGTTCCTCAACGGAAAGCGAGTCCTCGGATTTCTTGGTGACACTGGGCGCAGTGTCGCGACAAATTCTCGCTATCCGCACACAATTTGTTTCAAATGAACTTAACATGCTTTATTCTTTCATACGTTGTACTATTATTAAATATAACAAACGCATACCAGTGTTTGGGAAAAATTCATTTAAAATTGTCTTTATATAAGGATGTGGTTAAAAAGGAGGTCCAAATGAACCCCAAATAATCAGGAAAACTTTTCTCTCAAGGAAACAATTCCGCTTCTCTGAGTTGTTAAAAGGATTCTGTTTCTATTTTACTAATGTCACATTAAAGATTCAAATTGAAACGCCTGTGCCTCCACGAGACTGCTTCGGTGTCTGGATTCCAAGTTTATAGAACACTGACTCCTTCAAACCAGGACTGTGCTGTGTGGGTTTTTGGGGATTTTTTAGGGGGGGAAAGGGGAAAAATTTTAAGAAAGAGTGGCTTTTCCCAACGTCCTTGCTTTCCTCTTTAACTTTCCATTTTGTTTATCTTAATGCGAGGCGTTGTTCCCTGCGAGAACCTAAGTCTTCCCTCTAGTTATAAAAGAAAAGAGAGGAGGGAAAAAAAATCTGGCACACACTGGCGCACTATCCACCACCCTGTCATTATTGGTGCAGGCCTGGGAATTCAAGCCGGACCTCCCAGTATTTGCTGCAGCTTGAGGCCAAGGTGCCTCTGAAAGGGTTTTCTTTGAGGAATTTCAGAAATTGTTTAAGCGCTTAAAAAAATATTACATTTCCCCCCGTGTCTATCGCGAGGCAAATACGTGTGTGTGCGCGCGCGCGTGTGTGCGCGCAAAGGGCATCTCACAAAAAGAAGACACAGTTGAAAAGAAAAGGAATAAGAAAGGAGGGGGGAGCATTCCTTAATGGAAGTATTGCATGCGAGAAGGTTGGCGCTCTCGGAGGCTCCCCCCGAAGCCCGGGATGCACACACTGGGGTTGCCTACCTGGGTGGTCTCTCTACTTTGGTGAGCTGTTGCTAAGCAGCTAATAATAGTCATGTTTGCTGAGTAATTTCTGCCCTCTGCGAGCCAATCGCGTCGCAGAAACCCAAGCCATCTGACAGCCCCGGGGGCGGGAGCTCCAGCCTTTTTCTCTTTCGCTCGCTCTCTCCCCCTCCACCCCCTCCCCTCCTCCTCTTTCTCCAAATGGAGAGAGTTCTTTTTTTTCTTCTTCCATCTCATCTATTGAATCAAGGAGCTGCTGCGGCTGCTGCCCGCTGCACACACACAGAGCGGAGTCCCCAGGTCCCGGGAGCGAGAGAGGCGCGCTGCACTGGGGCAGAATGGTCCAGCGGGTTGGCGAGGAGCACAAGAAAGCAGAGTCCGGGACCGAGCAGCCACCGCGAACGCAGCAGCCAGAGCCCGAGCAGCCTGAGCAGCAGCTTCTGGAGCCGCCACCGCCAGCAGCAGCGGGAGCAGCGGCAGCTGCCCCGGCCAGGCAGCGCTGAGACCCGCCGGGCACCCTCGGACCCCGCGGCGGCGGCGGCTCTGCGCTTACACTTCGCGGCCGCTCGGACGACCCGGGAGGCGCCGAGGGAGCCAGCGCGGCCCGCGGGAGCGGCGGGGATTTGCTGGCCCCTTTTGCAGTGAAGGGGTCGCAGCGCGGGGCGGGGGGCGGGTAGGGGGAGTTGGGGACCGCGAAAAGCGCCGCCGAAGCGCCCGAAGGACAGGCTCCCTTGGCGCGCCGGCTCTCGCCCTCCCGCGAACTGGATGTGGGCAGCGGCGGCCGCAGAGACCTCGGGACCCCCGCGCAATGTGGCAATGGAAGGCTCAGGGTCTGACTCCCCGGCAGCAGCCGCGGCCGCAGCGGCAGCAGCGCCCGCCGTGTGAGCAGCAGCAGCGGCAGCAGCAGCAGCAGGTCTGTCAGCCGGAGCCCAAGCCCGAGCAGCCTGCGGCCAGCAGCGTCCTCGCGAGCCGAGCGCCCAGGCGCGCCGGGAGCCCGCAGCGGCGGCAGCAGCGCGCCGGGCCGCCCGGGAAGCCTCCGTCCCCGCGGCGGCGGCGGCGGCGGCGGCGGCGGCAACATGGCCTCGGCTGGTAACGCCGCCGAGCCCCAGGACCGCAGCGGCGGCTGCAGCGGTGCCCCGGACCGGCCGGCTGGCGGCGGGAGGCGCAGACGGACCGGGGGACTGCGCCGCGCTTCCGCGCCGGACCGGGACTATCTGCACCGGCCCAGCTACTGCGACGCCGCCTTCGCTCTGGAGCAGATTTCCAAGGTGCATTTCAGACTGTCCTCTCCTCCCACTCCCACCCTCTTCCCTCCTCTTCCTCTTCGGGATCGCCCCCGCCACACACACACACACTCTCTCTCCAGGAAAAGAATCACACAAGCGGGGATAGAAAAATCCAAACCCTCCCTCTGGTCCTGGGAGGAAAGGACTGTCTGAGGTCCTCAGGGGGTGGAGGTGTGTGTGTGTGTGTGTGTGTGTGTGTGTGTGTGTGTGTGTACACGCCCTCCCCGGCGTGCCTTTTCCGGAGCACTGGAAAGCGGTCCACAGTGGACCACCTCGAGGACGTGCGCGGCAGTGCCCTGCCCTGGAACTCCCTCCGCCTGCACCCCTGCCCCTATTTGCAGCCTAAACCCCAGTAATGCTGCCACATTTCTTAACATCTTGGAGGGGGAGGCGGAGTGGAGAGAGGCGGAGAGAGGAAGGGGGGAGGGAACCGAAATAAAGGTGGTTTCCTTTTTTGGCAACCGGTTTTGCTTTTGTTGAGCATGAAATCTCTGCTCCCTTAAAAATTATCCTCAGAAAAAGACATCCCCCGTCTTCTTTTCCAGTTTTTGAGCTGCCTCTCCCCAGAGCCTGAGAGGGGAGGAAAAGTTGTAAACAAATCGCCACCTTAAATTCGCGGTGCGGGTCTGCCGAGCGCCCGGGTTCATTGTGTTTACGAGGCTCGCTGAAATGTGTGGAATCCGGGGAAGGCGAGCACCCAGACGGGGGCCCGCCGGGGCCGCGGCCAGCGCCGGGGAATCGCCGCTGCCGGGAGCAGCCTGCGCCCAGCCAGGACCCCCGCCTGCGCCGGCCTGGGCCCTTCCCTTGTGCACTCGGCTATTTCTTACGTTTAACCAGGAGGGAGGGGAGAGGAGGGAAAGATCCATGTGGCTGCCCTCTTCCGATCACAAATATTGTCGTAAGTTGCAGATGGCCGCCCCACTTCCTAATTCAGCTCACACAGCGTCTCCCAACGCTATGGAAATGCGTCGCGAGTGAGCTCCGTTGGCCGCACTCACCACGTGGATCCCCGCTTACTACCGCTGTAGGCGCGGGGCCGGTTGGGGGAACCCGAAATACATTGTTGCCAAAGTGCGCTTGTCCCCAGCACCCGGCCCCGCCGGGGCACCCCGAGAGGGGTGATGGATGGAGCAGGACTTACGGGAAGAGGGGGACCTGGGCTGCTGGTTCTCAAATGTTGGGCTTCATCACTGGGATGACGCCGCCCCTCCCTTCCCAGGTCTGGGGTGAATACTGCTTGTGTGGAGTTTCTCTCCTCGTGCTTCGGCGTCCCCTTCTCCTGCATTGCAGCCCATCCCCCAGCGCCCCGAGTCACACTCGGGGATGCTGCTCGGGGCCGCGCGTGGGGGCGCCCTGCTGCTCCCGAGGTGCAGCTCCCACGCTGCAGCCTGACTGATTTATGGCCGAGCCCCCCCACGCAGCTCGCGCTCCCCCGAGCCCGCCTGGGTACCAGTCTGGAGGAAGAGTCCCTGCGCCGCGGCCGCCCGCGCCCCACGGCTGTCGGGGATCACCGGGCGGGTGCGCGCGAGCGGGCGTGGGCGCGCGGGCCGCGACTCCCCGGCGCTCACTCCTCCCTTTTGCTTCGTCCCCAGGGGAAGGCTACTGGCCGGAAAGCGCCGCTGTGGCTGAGAGCGAAGTTTCAGAGACTCTTATTTAAACTGGGTTGTTACATTCAAAAAAACTGCGGCAAGTTCTTGGTTGTGGGCCTCCTCATATTTGGGGCCTTCGCTGTGGGATTAAAGGCAGCTAATCTCGAGACCAACGTGGAGGAGCTGTGGGTGGAAGGTAAGAGACCAGCGCCCGCCGCTGCGCCCGCTCAGCCCGCAGTCGGAGCCCCGTCCCTTCCTCCCGATTGATAAAGATATTTGCCGGCACACACCTAGAGCCCCGCCGTGGCCGGCGAAAACCCCCTGCCCGCACCAGGGGGAATTGTTTATTGTTTGCGCGCCTGGCCGGGAGCCAGGCCCGCCCGACAAAGGCCGCGCTGTAATCTACTCGGGGCGCCGCGCTTTGCTAGGTGTTGTGGGAGAGAGTGGCAAGGGCGGGCCGGCGGGGGCGCGGGGCCCTCCGCGGGACAGACCACTGCGCACGGCCGGGGGCTCCGCGCCTGCAGCCGCCGCCGCCGCGCGCCTCGGCCCGCCGCGAGACGCGGCCAGGGGCGGGCCTCCCCTGTCCTGCCTCCCCAGCTCGGCTTCCTTCCCTCCCCCACCCCCACCCACCGCGTCCAAAGAGAAAGGACTGGGGGGAGAGGAAGGCCACCCCTCCGGCTGGAGGGAGTGTGCGCGCCCCCGGCGGCCGCGGCCGGCGAGCTGGGGAGGGCGGGGGGCGGGCGCAGCTCGGGCCTGCGGAGGCGGCGGCGTGTGTGGTCCTGTTTTTGGACAGCTTTCAACTCTGGGGGAAGAAAACATTTGTCTCAAGGTACAAAAAAAGGGGGAGTGGGGGGGGGAAGGAGTTGAAAAAAATAGTAAAGCACGGACTGGAACGCATGTTTGCAAAGTAGATTAATGTTTCCTCGCGGGTGGGGGCTTTTTAAATGAAATTATTCTGAGGGAAGGCTGCATTTTTCGGGCTGAGAAAAGAAATGTGTTTTAAGAACGCAGGCTTGAAGGGAGGGGCCACAGGAACCTTCTGACGGGTTCTGCCGGTCTTTTATCCACGCTCCTCAGTTTGGGGGTTCTTGAGGCCGTTCTTAGAAAAGCAGTTGTAAATTTAAGATAGGTATTTTACCCCAAACGGAAACATTTTACATTCTTCTGGTGATACAGGTTGTTTTGTTTTGTTTCTTTTTAAAAATCCTTTTGGAAAGTAAGGAATACTGCTATTTGGAAACATTTTAACCCCTAAACATTGCTTTGGGCATCTCTTAATCTTGCAAGGGGGTGGGAAGGGAGGGTTGAAGTAATTATATAGACATTTCAAACAGAAATATCTGGAGCATTCCTAGTGAAAGCTACATAAGACACAATTTGGAAGCTGAAGATTTATATGTATAATTGCTTCAGTGATCCCTTTCTGGATGCTATTGGAGACTAACCTTGGAGAATATTTTGTTAATCTTGCCTTGTTTATGAAGATTCAGCTTGCAGTGTTTTGCAAGCCTATGGTGGAGTATTTAGTTGAGAAGTGACAATTAAAATAATAGTCCAAATAATTAAGACAAGAAAACATTCCTGCCTTAAGTAGCTTGGTAATTAATACAAAAGTGTTTTTTGGATTGAATCCATAGGGTAATTTACCTCACTTCAGTGCTTCAATGTCATTGGTAGATAAAAGAAGGGTTTTATGGAGCACCTATAAATGCCCTTAGCAACAAGTTTTCTAAGCACCTGTGATGTACCTAGCACAGTGTTAGGCACCATAGGGGCCTCTGAAGTGTGTGAGACACTGCACAAATGCGTGCAATAAAACTGCTACAATTCAACGCATTTGGATTAAATTTGGGTTCACAGTTGAAATGGGCTGTGAAAGTTAAATGGAAAAAAAAAAAAGAGCTTCCATAGAAATGATGAGGCAGACTAAGGGCTGGGGACACCTAGCTAGAGAGGAGGAGGAAGGAGGGTGTTTTAGGCAGGGGACACAATACCAGACCTGGTGGGAAAGGCAAGAGTCAAGTGATGGCCTCAGCTGAGTGGAGGGACGCCAGCTGGCCCCAAGTCGTTTGGAAATGGTATGATTGGCTAGACTAGGGGAGCTACCATGGGTTCTAGGACAGAGCCGGGTATGGGCACAGCAAGGTCCCTGCTTGTCCATATGTTCACTTTCCACCACTTGGGCCAACCCAGATTTGTTGCCAGTCCATGACAACAAGATGACAAAAGATGATTTTGTGTAATTGTGAGCAAGAATTTTCAGTAGACTTTTAACAGGTTTAAAGAGAGGTAGCGTGATTTATTTTCTTAACATTGCATATTTCTAGAAACAACTGTGTTTCTGCATAATATAACTCATTTTACGTTTTAGAAAGTAGATGAACATCCTTCCTAGCAGTCTTAAGTGGGCTTCACTAATATAATGAGAGGGGGTTAGGGAGTGGAGTGCGTTTATTCCCCCAGTGAACAGGGTGGGGATACACCTGAGACCTGACACTTTCCCTACTTTTGGCCTCTGAGCACTTTCCTCATTTCTGATTTGGCAGTTTCAGCATGGCTCACTGGTTCTTGGGCTAAATATTATTTACTCAAGACTAATACTATCACTTGTTGAGCAACTGCCACATACTAGGCATTAATTATATATTATCACGTGACTTATAACTTGATAAAGTAGCTTTTATTGTCTTTATATAATTTTTATAACATGATAGTTTCTGTACTGTTTTTATGTATAATAATTATTGTCCCATTTTACAAATGAAAAGTATGGGGTATCTGTTTGTTTCTCCATGTCCACTTTGCCTACTAATGACTTAAATCACTTGAACTCCTATTGCCTTGGCCTTGATCTGTCATTCATTCATTCATTTATTCATTCTGTTCTTGATTACTCTCATGAGAAGCAGCAGCAGTCTCATAAATGCAAGTAAACCCAACCAGGGAGACCACCATACTGGTTTTTTGTTTGTTTGTTTTTGAGACAGAGTCTGAGTACCAAGGCATCAGCCTCGCTCACAGCAGCCTCAAACTCCTGGGCTCAAGCGATTCCCCTGCCTTCGCCTTCGGAGTAGCTGGGACTACAGGCACCCGCCACCATGTGCGGCTAGTTTTTTGTTTCTATTTTTAGTTGAGCAGTTAATGTCGAGACAGGGTCTCACTCTTGCCCAGGCTGGTCTCGAACTCATGAGGTCAAGTGATCCTCCCACCTCCGCCTCCCAGAGTGCTAGGATTACAGGCGTGAAGCGCTGCCCCACCACATGTTTTACAGTTTGAATTTTAATTCAGAGTAGAGGTAATTATGTAGAGATCTTGCTTATGATACAGTGAGCTTAGTATTCATGTTAGTAGTAAGTAGTATGAGCGTTTGCTTTGAGAAGTAGGAATTCCCTGTTGACCTAGATTTCAGTAGGGGTAGATGAATTGAAATGAGTAACAGCTCCAGATTTAGATTCATTTTGTTCTTCAGTCTCTTAGATAAATTCCTCATCACTGTTTGCAAAGAAGGCTGTCAGAGGGTGCTATCCTAGTAGAGTCTGTAAAGGTTGTGGGCATGAACTTTTACAGGAGTGGGGCATGAAGTGAATGTTTGCTACACAAACCGAATGGATAGAGGTTGCATATTTCCCTAGTTAAGAAGCAACAGAAGGGAGGACAGTGTGAAACTTCAAGGAGAGGGGAGTACTGAGGGATGGATAGTTTGGGGAAAATGCTGTTTCTCCTGTGATTTAAAGAATGACATATAAATGTATCAGTTGCCTGTGCATGTGCGTGTGTGTGTGTGTGTGTGTGTGTATACACATAGATTTACTCTGTGTATCCTCTTACCTTCCAAAACAATGTTATCTTTTTAATACAGTCAGCAAATTAAAGGGATGTACTCGATACACTGTATTTGATTTGACTTTCATGCTTTATTTAACATGATGGGGAAATGTGGCTTTATAAAGATAATTTGAATGTATTAGCCACACTGGGCAGACCAATATGTGCTAGATAAGAAAGATTTTATATATATGGCATTTTTATATATGGCATATATAAATATGTGTGTGTGTGTGTGTGTGTGGCATTGGTGATAAGAGTTCTTTTTTTTTGACTGTTAAATGTTCATACAATGATTGCCTTTTAAGAAACTGTCAATTATATGTTAGATGCCAGCTGGTGTTTGAGGGTTATAGTATTTGAAAGTAAAATGTCAAATCTAGCTCACTTGTGAGCAGAGTAATGAGGTTTGATAAAGAATATGTAGAATGATGTAATGGACATCTATTACAGAAACACATGATGGTGGCGGCAAGGTAGGGGAGAGACTGTCATTTTAGTCCACAAACAAGTTCTTAGTGCCTACTCTGCACCAGGTGCTTCGTGAAGCTTCAGAGAGATGTTGGTGAAAAGCCACAGCCCCTGCCCTCGCGGGACCTCCATCCAGCAGGCACACCGATTCTGGGGTGCAGGGCTGTAGTGCTAAGGGATGTACTCGATACACTGTATTTGATTTGAAGGGAAATCAGGGACACCTTCCAGGATGTCCCTGGAGGGAGAAGGCCTGAGCCAGGCCGAGAGGTGGGAGAGGGGAGGGGTTCCAGGCAGACGGAACAGCGTGGGCAAAGGCTCAGAGAACAGGTCCCTAAGGTTGAGGTGGGAGCTAGCAAGCCTGGAAGGTCTGTAAGGGTCGTGAAAGGCCCCTGCATATTTGGCTGGGAGGCTGCCAGGTCTTCCTGCTAGCCATTCTTTGCTTGTTTCATAATTTGGCTTCTAGTGTCCTCCCTAGAACTACACGCACTCTCCCCTGGATCTCTGTCTTCTGGCCTCAGAAAGCAACTGATTTATTTTTTAATGTTGCCCATTTCTCCATTGGCATTTCCTTTTTGTTTGGCAGTTTTCTCCTCCTATCTCCCTATCTTTTCCCCTTCATATCAAACCCCCACTCCAGCCCTCTCTCAGACACAAGTTTGTTGTCAAGATTCTCCAGTGACAGAATGTTCATTTATCTCTTTGAGCTTTTTGTTTTTCCTAAAAGCTTGCCCAGCCCCTGGCCTTCTTTTCTGCAAAGGGTAACAGCCTTGAAATGAATCTATACTGCCTTGGTGTTTGGTTGTTAACATTGCTGAAGGCCAGCATCTAGGGAGGAGGATGCAAGTTGTGGCTTCACTTTTTTCCTTAAAAGAAAAATGGAAGAATGTTTTTGTGAGG